TACGACTTCTCCTTCCTCTAAATGACCCTCTGAATCCAACGACCACCAAATTTGCAGTCATTGGGGAGTGTTTGTGAAAATTGGGCACTTTGGAGCCATAACCTTCTATGTACGCAAAAAATGCGATCATTCACCAACACCTAGCTTCTATAATTTTACGGAAAGATCTTTGGAAATGAGAGGTGGTATCAGGGAGTACAAGAATGCTTCAGGCACTTACTTTATTTCAGTCATCTTCCCTTTTGGTGCGGCAGTTTTGTTTAAGGACCCTGTTTGGGTTGGGGTTGGGAGATGACCTGGCTCAAAAGCCTGGATATCTGCTTGAAATCCTCAATCACAACCTGACATCCCAACCCATACTAGACCCCGCTATAGAATGCGTATCAAGGACTCCCACGACACTGTAAAACAATGCATAGTAACCAGAGCAGCTACACGGACTCCTGTCTCAACCCCCACCCTGGAAGTCAAAAAGCCCGAAAGTCCTGAACCCTAAACCCCTGGCTTTAAAGCTTCGCCACGCCGGCGTCCTCGATCATGCCAGGGCCACAGACAGCGCAGGATATAGTTGGGTTCTTCCAGTTCCCCTAAATTTGAGGGGTCTATATATTGACACTAGCTAGTTGCTGCTACATATCCTGCAGGCCATGTGACTGGCTCAGTGCAAGGCTTTAAGCCTAAGCAAATACCGCGTCAAGAGACGGAATTCCATGAGCTCTTTTGGTACCATCTCAGATAAGGATTTCCATCGACCGATGAAATCCTCGTCAATAAAGCAGTGAAAGGCCCGGCAGTTATACCGGGTGACTTTCATCCCAGTCGCTAAGTGCATCATCATGTGATGTTTTGGAACTATTTTCCATCGCGGAATCGAGCGACGGAGAGAAACCAATGCCAGCACTTGCAAAAGGTTCAAAAACTGGACGCATGCTTCATACAGTCCACTGGCTTCATTCGCTGAAAGGTAGCGCCCAGCCGCCTCCATCCGGTCAAAGAATGCCACCAGTGCTGACACAGCAGCAGAAGCAAGTTGAACTTCCTCACGGGATTCTCCGAGGCCACCACGTCGCAGCACTGTACGAAGAACCACCTCAAAGAACATCAGAAAGAGGCGCCCGTTATACGCCTTCAAACTGAGACAGGGATACGCGCCACCTTCGTACGACAGCAAGCCTGGAGCCATTGTGGCTTGTGAGTGCCTCGCAGCGGTGTTGAAAAAACTGCCGGCTATTGTAGCAGCAATGTAGCTGGATAAGGGGTCTTTATCTGCCGTTATTCCAATCGAAGCTGGACCTTAAAACCCATAAACCCTAAACCTGAAACCCCTAAAGCCTAACTCCTTTGAGCTAGTCATGTTCAAAACTTGGCTGGCTAGTCACGACAACTGGTTTGCAGCAGCCCACGTCTTGAAGCGTGCGCAAAGTTGCACCATCCTGGCTGCCTCGTTTGTAGTTCCAGTGAACCATCCTCAGTTCGTTCTAGTTGACACCCCCCAAAGTTAACTCTGTAACCCTGGAGCGTTGGGGCCTATAGCCTATATAGTTTTAAGATCGAGCAGGTTTCCATATTGCAGGACAGGCCTCCAACTTCCATCAGCAGGGTGTAGATAGAGCCATTGACTAGCTGGACCACACCAAGATTTAAGGTATGCATTCCGCATACTTTAATGAAGTCTGGTTGAAATCCAACGCTTGTGATGATCGGGTTGGCAGGTCGACTCAGGGCAGCAGAATCAGAACCGTCAAGAACCCCTAAAGTGATATATAGGTAGAGGGTCAGGGGGAACCTTATATAATGTTGAAATTGGAAAGTTTAAGCTGGTCCCCTTAAATGTGCCTCATGTGCTCAAGCAGCACCGATGTTGCCGGACGGAGCGGAAACTCACGAACCAGGGAGGTTTTCCACCTAGCAAACACTCCTAAACTTTAAACCCCTAAACCTTAAACCCATAAACCTTAAACCCCTACACCTTAAACCCCTACACCTTAAACCCTAAACCCTGAACCCTAAATCCTTTTACCCTACAACCCTACACCTTAAATCCTAAACCCCTAGAAACTTAACCGTAATGAATCTTTCAGGGAACGACAGCTCTCCACCAGATTGGGCCACACAGATGTGGCAGATATTCGTAGATGACCACCCAGGACGCAGTCGTAGAAAATACTTGTGCCATTTGAGGACTCCACGTAATTCTACCAAGGTATGGCACCCTCCTTCAGATAACGGTGGTTGGTTGATTCGCAGCTTGTGAGTCTTAGGGGTTGGTGGGGATATGTCTCGATAGCAACTTTCGGGAATTCAGTCTACCGAGCTCTCTAGCTATAGGGTGGCTTCTCCATAAACTTTTAGGTGGGTTTAGGGTTTAGGGATTCGAAGCGGGAGCCCTGTAGCCCTACTAATTCCCTGAAGCGATGTCTAGGTTCCCGATCCTCCTAACCGCTTCAAGAGTAGTTGAGCCCTGGATCCGGCTGAGGTGTGCAGATGGTACGATCGTTTCCCAACGAAGCAGGCCTGCAATTGGACTTCCGGGGGTGTAGCGACCACGGTAACTCTGACCAAAGAAATCTCTCTCAGGATGCACACCAGCAGCAAGGATGTTCAGGCTCCAGGTCAGAATTTCCATAACTGGCCAGAGGGTTTTTTCGGGTTCCAAGCAAATGAAGGTTCTGATGCTGAACAAAGGGTAGCGCTCTTGATGGCTACCTTGTCTTGCATCATGGATCTGAGCCTGCTATCGAATAACCCCAGAAAGCCTTATAACATACAACCTAATAATAATGCTGGGCGTGCATCAGGAGGCGAGAGACATCCCGCGCCAGAGGGAAGTTTAACGTTACTAAACTTACAGCGTCGCCAGCTTTGTTGTACTGGCCATCGTCACCATGAAGCCCGACTGGCATGCTACCATGACTTGGGTGCACTGCAGCCCAAGAGGTAAACTCACTGCAATGTGCCCAGAACTTATTCACGGCAGCCTTTGGAATTTTGACCAGGTTTCGGTCCTCGGTTTCATGAATATTTAGACCCTGACCCCCGACCCCTCGATGGTGAATTCGGCACCTCCTGAAAGCAGGTCTAGGGTCTTGAGGGTTGAGGGTTTACGTTTTCCTGGTTTATGTTCGTAGCCAAGGCTCATGCAAGAAGTGCACTAGCTCATGGGGCATGATGAAGGGCAGCTGTAGCATCTGATGATCCGTGCGGTTGGCAGCAGAAAGCACAGGGACTTGAACATAATGAACATCCTTGGGCATTGATCTTCAATATAAGTTCAGGCTTGTAGTAGAATACTATTTGGAATTTCGCAGCAACAATCCCGAAGTACATGCCCATATAAAACGGAGGTAAAGGTTCCAGAGGCAATCCCAGGCTACGCATGATGTCATGTTCCACATTCCCAGGGAATTTTCCCCAGCACCCAGCTTTGGCAAACATCTTGGTTGATTCACTGCAGTTCCCCCGAGACTCACGATACATCGCAAGTGCTGCCTCCTGAAGTTGGGCCGCTGATGTAGCCTCAGCCGAAAAATAATTCTCGGGTCTCAGGTTTGAGAAAACCAGGGTTGCATTCATAATTAATTGGTGCGAAATACTTGAAAACCCGCCGGTTTTGCTTAATGCACCAGAAGACAGCCTCGGCTTAGTAGGTAGTTCGGGGATTTGGGGTGGTGCATTAAGCAAAACCGCGATACCAGGGTTAAAGTTTTTAAAACGTGTTTACTTTAAACTGCACCAGCAACACATATAATATTCGTAGGGTTATACTGTATTGAGGTAAAACATGCCAATCCTGCTTCAGGCTCTCCTGACCCGAGAGAGCATAGAAGATGGTCAGCAAACGCTGTGTCATGGGTTGTATCTGCGCAGGGTGATAATGTCGAACAGGAGAAATGAATAACTCCCAATTCTGCTTATGTTTTAGGGCATTGGCACTTTTTGACCCATAGTCGTGCTGTGCAGACTCTTCTCGACTGTTTGCATCCAACCACTGGCAACTGCTGCCTCTAGTGATTTGGCAGGTCAGACTTTTCAAATCAAAGGTAAACATTTCGAAAAGCAGTACGCCAGCTATTGGCAGCGCAAACTGAGAAAGTAGGCTCTACGTAGGATCATTGATCCCATACAGAATTTGAATCACACATGATTCTGGCAGGGCTCCAGGGTGCTGTGCGAACTTCGATCGGTGATGGATCGCAGCAGCCTTGGAACCAGGACCCATTAAGGCAGATTCCAGAATTCAAGGGGGTGCATCGGCTTCAGGGTTTCAGGGACAAAGTTGAGGGTTGCGTATTCTGGCCATATGGAGTCATGAAGGTTGAGTGCTGCTAGCAAGCGAGTTGGCCAAAAGCCTGCGCATGCACAAGACAGCTTGAGTGGGCTTTTCTTGCACGCGTGAGTTGAGATGGTTGTCTGAAAGCTCCGTCTATCTTGCAAACCTACGACCATCATGGCCAGGCTTCGAGTGCCCCCCGCAGCTCTAAAGTCACATAACCAGCTAGCCGAAATTGAACGCTTTAAATCCGAGATAAAGCGACAGCTCCAGAGCTGCACCCTAGAGACACTCTCCCGGCCTCTCATGGTCTCTTGCAAGCTACGTCACTAGACTTTAACCTACGGTTGTGGGGCGTGCGCCGTGTCCATCAACACAGCACATAGTGGCCCCCGCAAAAACTGTGAGGCAAAACCCACGACTTTCCTAGCGGCTGTTGGCTTTGGCTTTTGCCTTGGCCTTCGCCGCCTTAGTCTTGGCTCCAGCTTTGGATTTGGCCTCTGGCCGCAGATGCATCTTGACATGCTTTGAAGCTTCGCGGTACTGGTCGTTGCAGTGATTCATCTGGTACACCTTTGGCCCTTGCTCAGACTCAGCTTCACCCATGGCTATGCTCACCTGGTACGCGTAGGGGTAGGCCAGAAAATAGTATAACTCAGAAAAATCATTCGCGACACAAACCGAAAACCCTCAACCTTCGAACCCCCCTGCCCCCTGCGCGACCCCCTTCACCCAAAAATAAGCTCCACCCTGACCTCAGCCCTGAATGTACCTGGCCTCCAGAGCCTCACGCTTCTCACGAATCTCTTCAGCTTGCGAATCCATGCTGCTAACCAGCGTAGCGATCAGGTTCTGGCTCCTGGGCACCGCGTGTGGATGGGAAGAGGCGCCAAAGATTCTCACTGCATGATTTTCTGAAAGATTCAGGGGCAGAGCTTGGGCTACTTAAATCAATCAGTCATGGAGTAAACTGGCAACTGGGGTCTAGATGTAGAATATATACCTAATTGCAGAGATCTCTAATCACCCTTTAACCCAAAAAATAACCGTATACCCTAAAAAAGCTCAACTCGAAACGCCTCAAGCTTTACAGGCATGTGTGCCACATCCACAGCATGAACTGTTGAAGAGGCCTTCATTAAGCCCAGTGAATGGACGGGAGGGGACTGCTAGCAAATACACCCGATTACACCAGGCCAAAAACCATAAACCTTGAACCCTAAACCCCTAAAGCCCCGAACCCTGAACCGCCTGAACCTCTAAACCTTTTAAACTCACCCTGTCCAGAAGTGAGCTTGCTTCATTATATTTTAGGATTGAGGATTAGGGCTTCGAAGACCGGAAGTAGCATGAACTGGTATAAGTGCCCCAACTTGACTAGTCGCAGTCTCGAAGCTACAAAATGTTGGAACCCTAAGCCCCAAACCCTAAACCCTGAACTCCTAAATTAGGCGGCATACATATAAGGCAAGAATCACTTTCGCAAGCTTGAGCTTGTGCGCGAAACTGGAAATCTCGAGGAGGTTCGCGTTGGCCTGAATCATGGCCTCAGTTGTACACTGATCGTTTAATTGCATCTAGACTTTCGGAATTCAAGCAAGTAACTGCTTTGGCTTGCTGGGCAATTGTCTTCGCCTTCTTCTCCTTGCGCGGGTTGGGGTTGTGCTGGTCGGGGCCTCCTGAGCCACTAGGTCCAGCCCCAGAATCAGGCCCTGGAAGTCGGGACGCAGCATCAATCTCTGCAGCTCTCTCACGCTGCAGGACCAAGTTATTCTCCAAGTCATTGGTCTCCATGGTACTATCCCAACAATGGTAGAGGCGACGGGCTGCATTGCCAGGACAGTTGGGATCATCAATGGCCATGTTCTTGCTCTCCTGCAGCAAACTAGAGAATTGAGGTTCCAGGAATAGCCGAGGGGGTTGACTTGGGCCAGAAGTGGCCTAATATCAATAAATACCGTCATAGTATTCGGGCTTCGATAAAAACTTTCAAGTAGTCTTGCTCATCCTTGAAAAAGATACAGCACCACGCCCATAAGTCAGTATCATGAGAATCCAAATATCCCCACTGTCCTTGTCAGCAATTATCGCCTCCACCTCCTCCGGCTCATAACGTTCCAAGAGGTCCTGCGTGTGCAATGTGCACATTGATTCTAGTATAAAGAGAGACTTCTTCGGCACAGTCATGATTTGGGTCCTTCTTGCTCATGTACTTGTACTGAGACCGGTTGCGGCTGCGATTCGCAATCTCGCTTCGAAGTACGATATCACTCTCACCCCAATCCTCACTGGCCGCCAGATACTTCTTGAACAATGTCTGCAGCTGGGACCTGTTGACGCAGCCTCAGATGATGTAGTCCGGGATTCTAGAGGCAATAGTAGGGTTTAAAGCTTTAGGATTTAGGGTTTAGGGGTTTACGGGTTTAGGGGGGGGGGTTGAAATGCAGAGCTATTCTCCAGTAGCGAGAAAGGGACCGTTGGAATCTGTGCATTTCGCGACCTCATCTAGCACGGGCTGCGGGCAGGACTTGCCTCAGATGCTGATAAATTGAAGGTTCTATATTCTGAGACCCCACAAGTCCAGTCGTGACATGGGCCATAAACAATGAACTGCGCATGATGCCCAGGCAGAGTTGCTGTTAATGCTTCTGGAAAATCGCATGTAGGCTGCCCTTTTAGCCTTCCGCTCATCAGCCGCCCCAGCCTGGACAAAGGCATTAAAGCTAAAGGTGGGCATAAGCTAGTTCGGTCTATAATTTATAACCATGAGGGCTTACAGCTTACATGCTCAGTTTGGGCCTCCGCAGCAACTTCAGCCTTCTCCGCACGAGCTGGCTCAGGCTCCAGGTTCTTGGCAATTGCGGCAGGGGTTGGGGCAGGCTCAACCTTTGACTCATCCATCGCAGCAGGTAAGGCTGCCCCGCCGGCTTGGGAAGGTTGTGCATTGAGACTCGCTGGCGGGGGGAGCGTCGCTCCAGGCACATCATCCTTGGCTGAGGGGCACTCCATGGACCTTGGGCTGGTGGGTTGGCTGGTGGGCTGGCTTGAGGGCCCAGGCTGCATGGTCTGCAACCTTTTCAGGAGCTGCTCGAAATCAATGGTCTCTGGCCGCTTTAACGCTTGCTCCACGGCAGAGGCCTGTCCCGTCTGCATGGCCATGCCAGGAATTACGGACATGAGCCATTTAGCGACTGCATCTGGTTCCGGCACCACTGGTGTTTGCTGGGCTTGGGAGTCTTGAGCACCACCAGTGTCAGCCTGAGTGCTTTGCAACGCCTGCTGGGTTTGCAATGCGTGAATCTGCTGACCTGCGGGATTGGTAGCCTGCTGGGTTTGCAATGCTTGCGACTCATGAC